ACGAAACACCCATAACCATGATAACCATCATGCAACCATCAAGAAACCAGCAGCTGTCAGGCCCATTTGCCCGGGCGCTCTCAAATCCCATATATTACAACGAACCCTTGGAAACTAGAGTCAAGGTTGTCGTGGAGATGTGAGGCACAAATGGACGCTCCGGCGCTGCAGCGGTGCCGCAGCTGAGTTCCGGAGCTACCACTTAGGCATCGGCATTGGTTGCCAGCCTACTGCTTAGATAACATTCCTCACCAATTAAGAAAATCCGGAGCATAACCCTCCGTGTATGGATATATGGGGTATGACCCTCCGTCGGGGTTCGGTTGGGCTGGTGAGTTTGTTCCATGTTGTTCTCTCAGAGGGCGCAGCTCTCATTTTCAATGATGACCTTCTTGAAAGAAGGTCCTGCTGATACAGTCGGAGAAGATGTCCAAACGACTCAGACAAGAAAGGTGCGGATGGATACGGTCTGCAAGTGCGCGCGGTGTCCATCGTAACATCACCTTGCGGCAGCTCAGTTCCAGTGAGATGAGGGTGACATTGTCACGTTTCTGTCCATCAGCCTGCTCTGAACCCCTGTAGGCCGCATCCAGGAAGACTCCAGCTTATGGCACAGCAGACCTTCATCCTAGACGATTGGACACTAGATAAGGCTGATCTGATTTTCTGAGCTTGTACTGCCGTTTGAAACCTTGTAGCATGTACTGCGAGTAACATGAACCACTGCCTCACGTCGCGCCTAATCGGCGAAAACCGAACTCGCACAGCAAAATCTGGATTCAAGCAACTTTTGTATAGGAATCGTGGGACTAATTCTTTGTAAAACTCGTCTTTTGTTGGCTGTACCTCTCTCTAGACACTGTTCAGTCACTGAACTAGTAAATGAGTAAAGATTACTCTCTCTCTCTCTCTCTCTCATCTCTCTCTAGCGTGAGCACCAGTCCGTCTCGCCGTCAGCTGAAACACAAAAATCAAAAGAAAATGTGTCGTAATAAGTCACCATGTTATCGAAAAATGGCGCTTTTTTGATATAGGTGCTCTCCTTGTCCCATGGGTATAGTTTCGTCGACGGCGTGACTAGTTCCTGCCACTGTTTCGAGCCCTTGTCGATGTTGGCATACACCTACCAATTGGAAGAACTATCACCGAGCATTCGGACTAAAACTTTTTATTAGCACATACCTCTGTAAAGAATTGTGGCTTCACGAACTCTTCCTCAAATTTTGCAACTTCTTCGCGTGTTGGCCAGATATCTTGAAGATACACGTCCTTCCCACTAGGTGTAGTTGCTGAACAAAACTAATGCTGCTTTCTTCAAACATTTTGACTCTACAGCCAGGGCACACCATCGCGTTGCGTAAAATTTTCGCTGAATACGACCCTACCTTTTCTATAAGTGGCTCAGCGGCAATGGGGCGACAGCAGCTGTTCGCAACTTCAACAGTGCATTGGGGGAGGACACCCTTTCCATCAGGAGTGTCCACCGCTGGTTCGCTCTCTTCGTGGGGACGATCTTCGATGACAATACTGTGTTGGGGCAGCCCTATGAAGCGAAATACCCCACGGTTCTCGAAGCTGTCAAGGGGGGGGGGGCTACCATCCGCAGTCTTGCAACAAGGCTCGAGTGCACCTAAATGAGCGTCGTGACCGCCTGTGAGCCCTTGGCTAGCGAGAACTACTGGCTTGAAAGGCGTGCACCTGGGTACCCCTTGGTCAGTCTCCCCTTCTCCGCCCTCGTCAGAAGGAGTTTCCAGGAGACTGCTTAGTGGAGATGAGAGATGGGTCCTCTGTGATTTCAATCCACACAGTACCGTGTGTCTCTCTCAAGGAGAAGACCTATCTTATTGTTAGCAGGTTATAAGCATGCACTCCAAGAAGATTCTCCTGTGCTGCTTCTGGGAAGCGAGGGGAATGCTGCACAACGAGCTGCCCTGTAAGAACACACGGTCACCGCTACCATTTGTGCCGCTCAGCTCCAGGAACCCTCTTGGAACTCTTGGAGGAAAAATGACCGAGACTAGCTTCGGGGCACCTCGTTCATGATGACGCAGTACTCACACTGCTATGCAGACATATTAAAAAAGGTAGGAACAAGGCTGGTAGACCACATTCCGCTCACCATATTCTCCTGACGTAGGCCTCCTACGATTACTACCTGTTCCGCCTCCTTAAGGCTTTCTTAGCTAAGAAAACAATCAGCAAGTTTGATGACATCAGTCGAGAGGTCGCCTACTTGTTTCACTCGCAGCCTCCGCTGCTCTAGAAGAAGCGGATTGCTTACCAGATTAGGTGGAGTACTGTAGTGGCTAAAACATGGCGAGTACACTGTTGACTAAATTCTACTGTGCGCTGCGTTAGAAATAGAAAAGAAAAAAAACAACAGTTCTAACTTTCTTTCCAGCCTATTACTTTTGAAACGCATTGCAGCGGTTCTGCCGAACCAATCAGGCACATATAGCGCGCGCAAACGGGAAAAATCGGCAGCTTGGGAAAGCGGTAATACAACCCCATCGAGTTACACCACACAACGGGTGATGCTGCCTTGTACCTGCAAGCTCCCAAATATTGAATAATAACCTACCGATACTCCGTGATATCTTTATTCACGTTATCGCCAAACAATGGAGTAGACAACTGCAAGGGGAGGACTTGCAAGATAATTAGCTCGTACAAGTGGATGAATGCGACCCTCGAAGTTTCGATTGCCAGAGAGTACTCCAGCGACGATAAGGTTGTTCTGAAAATGTCAGTAATTCAAAATATTACCAATCATAAGGTCAGTATTAACGTTTCAAGATAGTTTAGAAGCACGTAGTCGACAAGAGTTGAATGGTTTCAAAGAAGAAATATTACGCTTTACAGTAGTTGTCGTACTCGACTTTCTTATAGGATT